TTTTCTGCTTCATTTCAATTAATGTCTCTGGTCTTTTAAATGGTTTGTGATAGCGCTGGCTGTCTTTGGAATTACCTGACTTAATCAGTTGCATTGTTCTTTCTCTGCTCAAAATCTCGTTCTGCAGAAATTCCATAACTTCTGAGACTTTCCATTCATCACTGGATCCTCTTTGTCGACTGTACTGAAGTGCAATGTCTTCCGGAATCATTTGTAGCAGAACAGGGCATAACAAGCTGCCATATGCTTCTGATGCAACACCCAGCGATTCTAAGCTACGAATCTGTACTTCACATTCATCATAAAGTTGTCTCAAAGCACTCACGTCGTAGGATTTCTTCACTGGGCAGAGATTCAACAACTTGGTCATGTGCGCATTAATGAGCAGATCTTTTCTTCCGAACCGGTTCTGAAGCAGATCGATCGCGTGATCGTAATTGCTGTCTGTCAACATCAGTCCCGCTATAGCCTTTGAAGCAGCGCCGGCTACATATGTCTTTAAGTAATTAAACTTCTCTGTTTTGCTTAGCGCCTCATTTCTGTGAATGGCCGTTTCAAACTGATTCCAAAAGTCCTGCCACAAGCTAATGTCACCGCTGAACTTGTTGATGATTAACTTGGGTAACTTAACTGTTTGTCCGCGCTGCGCTGGTACTGCATCACGCGGCCTGCTATCAGTGTTTTCCCGAACTCTCTGCATCACGCGCCGCACGCGGGCCTTCGCGCTGATGACTCGCTGGCCATACTCCTCAGCGTCGACAACTTCATTTTCAAGATCCTCCACATCTGTATGCTCCTCTATTTCGTGATCTAACTCCAGCAGCGTTTCCTCTTTTGCAGATAACATGGCTAACAGTTCACATAATCTGTCAACGACTGGATCTTCCTTGCTAACCTCCGTTTCTATGTCTTGCAAAAGTCTCGTCGTGGAACCGCGCACAGCTCTCCGTTTTCTGTGTAGTCTTTCAAGTCGCTCCGCCATTTCGGATGTTGCTTGCAAGTTATCCCGGGTTTTCGGCACCAAAGAATGTCGTGTATTTTCTTCCTTGACCAGCAATAATGACCACTGACGACTTGAATTGAATAAACTGAACTGTTTACTGAAGTTTCTGAACTTGAATCATTAGATACAGCGCTCGCACATGAAAACAATCTCTTTCTCTTTTTTTCCTCACATACACTGATGCATTATTGGTAGAATTCTCTTAAAGCTGAACACCCCCATTAATGTCAAACTGTTTCTGTTATTATTAAAGATAACAAATTCACATTTCTATTCTGATTAATTTACAACAACGACTGACGCTGATACACCGATACAGTATGCAGATGTGTGATCAGATCATAACGACTGACGCTGATACACCGATACAGTGTGCAGATGTGTGATCAGATTATAATGACTGACGCTGATACACCGATACAGTGTGCAGATGTGTGTTCAGATTATAACGACTGACGCTGATACACCGATACAGTGTACAGATGTGTGTTCAGATTATAACGACTGACGCTGATACACCGATACAGTGTGCAGATGTGTGATCAGATTATAATGACTGACGCTGATACACCGATACAGTGTGCAGATGTGTGTTCAGATTATAACGACTGACGCTGATACACCGATACAGTGTGCAGATGTGTGTTCAGATTATAATGACTGACGCTGATACACCGATACAGTGTGCAGATGTGTGTTCAGATTATAACGACTGACGCTGATACACCGATACAGTGTGCAGATGTGTGTTCAGATCATAACGACTGACGCTGATACACCGATACAGTGTGCAGATGTGTGTTCAGATCATAACGACTGACGCTGATACACCGATACAGTATACAGATGTGTGTTCAGATCATAACGACTGACGCTGATACACCGATACAGTATGCAGATGTGTGTTCAGCTCATAACGACTGACGCTGATACACCGATACAGTGTGCAGATGTGTGTTCAGATCATAACGACTGACGCTGATACACCGATACAGTATACAGATGTGTGTTCAGATTATAATGACTGACGCTGATACACCGATACAGTATGCAGATGTGTGTTCAGATTATAATGACTGACGCTGATACACCGATACAGTATGCAGATGTGTGTTCAGATTATAATGACTGACGCTGATACACCGATACAGTGTGCAGATGTGTGTTCAGATTATAATGACTGACGCTGATACACCGATACAGTATGCAGATGTGTGTTCAGATCATAACGACTGACGCTGATACACCGATACAGTATGCAGATGTGTGATCAGATCATAACGACTGACGCTGATACACCGATACAGTATACAGATGTGTGTTCAGATCATAACGACTGACGCTGATACACCGATACAGTGTGCAGATGTGTGTTCAGATTATAACGACTGACGCTGATACACCGATACAGTATGCAGATGTGTGTTCAGATTATAATGACTGACGCTGATACACCGATACAGTATGCAGATGTGTGTTCAGATTATAATGACTGACGCTGATACACCGATACAGTATACAGATGTGTGTTCAGATCATAACGACTGACGCTGATACACCGATACAGTGTGCAGATGTGTGTTCAGATTATAACGACTGACGCTGATACACCGATACAGTATGCAGATGTGTGTTCAGATTATAATGACTGACGCTGATACACCGATACAGTATACAGATGTGTGTTCAGATTATAATGACTGACGCTGATACACCGATACAGTATACAGATGTGTGTTCAGATCATAACGACTGACGCTGATACACCGATACAGTATACAGATGTGTGTTCAGATTATAACGACTGACGCTGATACACCGATACAGTATACAGATGTGTGTTCAGATTATAATGACTGACGCTGATACACCGATACAGTATGCAGATGTGTGTTCAGATTATAATGACTGACGCTGATACACCGATACAGTATACAGATGTGTGTTCAGATTATAATGACTGACGCTGATACACCGATACAGTATACAGATGTGTGTTCAGATCATAACGACTGACGCTGATACACCGATACAGTATACAGATGTGTGTTCAGATCATAACGACTGACGCTGATACACCGATACAGTATACAGATGTGTGTTCAGATTATAACGACTGACGCTGATACACCGATACAGTATACAGATGTGTGTTCAGATTATAACGACTGACGCTGATACACCGATACAGTATACAGATGTGTGTTCAGATTATAACGACTGACGCTGATACACCGATACAGTATACAGATGTGTGTTCAGATTATAATGACTGACGCTGATACACCGATACAGTATGCAGATGTGTGTTCAGATTATAACGACTGACGCTGATACACCGATACAGTATACAGATGTGTGTTCAGATTATAACGACTGACGCTGATACACCGATACAGTATGCAGATGTGTGTTCAGATTATAATGACTGACGCTGATACACCGATACAGTATGCAGATGTGTGTTCAGATTATAATGACTGACGCTGATACACCGATACAGTATACAGATGTGTGTTCAGATTATAACGACTGACGCTGATACACCGATACAGTATGCAGATGTGTGTTCAGATTATAATGACTGACGCTGATACACCGATACAGTATGCAGATGTGTGTTCAGATTATAATGACTGACGCTGATACACCGATACAGTATACAGATGTGTGTTCAGATTATAATGACTGACGCTGATACACCGATACAGTATACAGATGTGTGTTCAGATTATAATGACTGACAAAATTAAATTAAAATGCACTAATCTAGTTGATTGTGTGGTGTTATGTGGCTCTCTGAGAGCATCAGTGCCTCACACACGACCTCCGTCAGCAGCAAGAGTTGCTGAATCATGCAGTGTACGACTTAGATACACACACACACACACACACAACCAAAAAAATTCCCCCTCCAGATTTAATAGAGTCCAAAAACACTGGCACTCAAGTCAGTGCAACACGAGCCTGTCGCTCGATGCGTTTATTTATTTCAGTGTTGATATGATGTCGTGATGTGAGGACTGCCAATTCTGAGCAATGCTAATGTTAATTAAAACCTGTCAATCGCCAATATATCCTTAGAAACAGACTTTAGCTAAATAATATATTATGGCATCGTCCTTCTCAATGTTTATAATGCATCACACTCAAAACGCCTGTTTTCTGAATTTGTGCTCCATGATGAGACATTTTACATTAACTAAAACGCCACCATGATGCTTGAATGTTGTGGGTGGTTGCTAGGGTGTTGCTAAGATGTTCTAGGTTGCTAGGGTGTCACATCTCTGATCGTCTAGATATCTGGATGTGACTCGAGTCCTTTAATGTGTATCTATAGGGGTTTTTTTACACCTGTTTTCTGGCCCAGCAGGTGAAAACGGTGCATTTGACACTTAGTAGTAGATTTGAGGGAATCGTTCATGTCTGGAGAACACTAATAGTCAGCTCGCAAACACTACTAAGGATTTTGTTGTTGCATGCATGAAACCAAATGTTTTCTGTTTTTATATTGAAACAATGCCATGCAACATTAGAGAACGTCTCCATAATAAAAGGGCAGATAATTGTCATGTTTAATTGCTTATGCATAATCTCAGTTCATTATGACCTGCCTTGTGCAGGTTGAATCTGCACCAGCATCCATCTTTCACAGAGTTTCTATTATGGCTTCTGAGCTTGTGCATTATTATTATCATCATCATCATCATCATCACAGATTTCACTAATGGTGATGATGCACTAATGCATATTGAAGAATACACTATAAATTACTACTGAGGGGGGATTATGTAACTAGATTTAGATGTGTTGTTGTGAAAATGGCTGGTGATTTTATGATCCTCCATCATGCCTCAATAACACTTAAAGGTTATCATCATCACAATGACCTTTGCATATCATTGATGCATGACTGAGCTGGAATATAAGATTGATACTGCTTTATTATTGTATGTTATTATGTGTTGCATATGATTATAATGCATGAACGACTTACTTCCCCACGAAGTTCTCGAGAACGGAGCTTTTCCCGGCGCTTTGTCCGCCCACCACCGCGATCTGCGGCAGGTCCAGCTCCGCGTTCTGCCCGATGGCGGAGAACGCATCTTGCATTCGGTTGACCAGAGGAATCAGATCCTCCATCCCCCGGTTCCCCATCGCGATGACCGGCAATGACAGAATATGTGTTTTAAGTGAATTTCTGCATTGATTTATTCCGTCTCTCTATCTCTCTCTCTCTTTCTCTCACGATCACGCTTTCAGGACGGATCTTATTTCGGCATTTATTCTGTCTCTCTTTATCTCTCTGTGTGTGTGTCTGCAGTCCTTCTGAGATGATGATGAGCTGCTTTTCTCTCAGTGAGCGCGCGCGCGGGCACGAGCTGCAGCACCGAGTTCTCTCAGTAGTGGGCGCGCTTGTTAAAGTCAAAACAATGTTAATGAGATCTATATGTTAATAATCTATCTATCTATCTATCTATCTATCTATCTATCTATCTATCTATCTATCTATCTATCTATCTATCTATCTATCTAGATAGATAGATCTATCTATCTATCTATCTATCTATTTATCTATCTAGATAGATAGATCTATCTATCTATCTATCTATCTATCTAGATAGATAGATCTATCTATCTATCTATCTATCTATCTATCTATCTATCTATCTATCTATCTATCTATCTATCTATCTATCTATCTATCTATCTATCTATCTATCTATCTATCTAAACAAGTAAAATTAACATTTTTTTCCAGACTAGAGCAATACTGCCTTGCGCGAATTGATCACAGAATGCCGATTAAAGTCGTATGAAATACAAATATAATACAATTCTAAGTTATGAGTAGCTACTGTATACTGTAGACTACTGTTTTTATTTTTAAAACGGTGTGAAAAGTAAAAAATATCATAAAATATTAATCTTTGACTTGTCAAAGTACACCTTTCCTCATAGTAACTGAAACTTTCTGTTATTCTTTTTCAGCTGGCTGACCGTACAAATATTCATATGGTAGTAAGCATTTTTTTAAAGGGAAATTATACATTATAACAGGAAAATGTACCTTTTGTAAAAAAAAAAACAAAAAAAAAAACCTGTGAGTCTGCACATGCGCATAACCGGTAAGTAGCAAATCTCGATGGGTAGCATGAATCGTCAGAACACCTGTGCTTCAGTGTAATGCGCCGCGTCTCCTCCAGTCCTGCAGGGGTCGCTGTGTGACGCGCTGCCGTCACTGTTGCTCTGAGACCGGTGTGCGAGTGTTAGCACGGCGCTAATGTGACACAGGAACTTTCAACAGGCGTTCGCTCATTTCGCCTCTATTAAACTCATATTCCCTGCAGCAAAATTGGTGAGTACTAGCTTTAATTCTGCAGATAAGTGGATACCAAAGTTCAAAATATCAATATTACGAGAGAGGCTTGTGGGTGGTCGCTGATGTTGTCGTGTTTCTGACAGATAGCGCTTTAGCATATAGCACACAGATAAAGATTATGGCTGTGTTCCTAAACCCTGGTGAGTCACCTATCTAGACAGCATCTTAAGGCATAAATGCAGTTGTTTGATTCTCTGAAATGCATCTCCATACTCGTGAGATGCTCTAAAGCTGCTGTCTGTGTAGGGAGCGAGGGTTTGAGACACTGCCAGACTGTCGAGCTGTTGTTGTTTTTGTCTTGATTCATTGTTTGTTTGTTTATTGTCTCATTCGTCACTCGTCTGGTTTAGATGCCACGGAATCCCAAATATGATCCTCATGTCCATCCCAACATTTAAAAGACAGCTATCTTTTATAAATGCTCACATTATACGCTGAAAAATCCATGTTACAAATCTAAAACTTGCTTTAAGTTACGGTAAATATTATATTGTTGTACTGCTGTAATGTATTTATTTAATAGCCTAATTACTAACTAGCCTAATTGTATTCATTCTTTTATTTAATCTATTTAATTGGTTAATAACTAATCTTTTTATTTTAATCACATTTGTGTTAACTTTTTTTTGTTTTAATCTAATTTAATGACTTATTTATCTTCATTTACTTAACTGCTTTCCTCTCAAGTTTTCCACAGACTCCCTTCAGTTACTTGACTCTTGCCTTGTCAATACAAGATATTGTATCCAATGTATGAAATTCAAGAGGAGCATAATTTTTGGCAGTAGGATGCACCGATATGAACATTTTGTCTGATACCGATAACCAATAATTCTTTATATTTGATACCTGATATATATGCTAATATCTGAAGTCTTTATATCCTTTTTGAGACCCTGATCATAAAATCAAAAGTCTCAAGCACACAATTATGATGATGTTCTCATTATAGTTTTATGTAGCCGATATGACAGATTTGTGTTGCACTGACTGTATATGTGATTCCAATCATATTTCAAGCAATCATGTTGAACAGTGCGCATTTGCTGAAGGAAATAATACATTATATTAATCGGTCGCATTTCTTATCAGGCCAATAACGATAAAATCACAAAGGAACATATATTGGCCAATATATCCCTATATTTTGAATGAATTTATGGTCTGGGTTCATTCATTTGTGAAAATGATTCTTCAAGCTCCTCATAATTATTCTTTCATAATCTGAGCCTGATGAATCTTGACATTGTCCTCCTAGAATACGGCCATGATGTTTCTTCCTACATGGTTGTTTAAGAAATGCAAAGCTACACACTCCATCAGTTAGTCAGTTAACAAATTTTCTTCCCTTTTTATTATTTGAGCCAAACGACAACATTAAAAATGAACATATACCGATATGTTGTCCGATATATCGCTCGTATGAGTGAGGGTGAATCGGCTTATATGCAGTGACTGGTCTCTGTTTCCCCCAGACTGAAGCGTAGGAGCGTCCAGACGTCAGGAGGATGTTTAACCCTCATCAGCACCAGCAGCATCAGCAGCAACAGCAGTTCCAGCAACACCTGCGTCAGCTCCAACAGCTGTTCCAGCATCAGACGCCTCCTCCTCCTCCTCCACCTCCTCCTCCTCCACAGCCTCCGCCCGCACACCACATCACACACCACCACCAGACGGCACGGTGCGCTTCACTAATACACCATAGTCGGTTTATGAAAAAAAAAAAATGTTATGTGCCCAAAAACATTACAGTTTTTCTCTGTCGCTTTGGTGCTTTTCTCACATCACTATTTACATTTGCACAACAGTTAATGCAGTTCTCAAAACAATTAGTACAAACTGCAAAACTTAGTTGATAACCTGCAAAAGTGTGTCACTTGCTCAAAATGGATAACTCGTTCCTCAAAAGCAAGTATTCATGTCATTGAAAGTGTCAGTGTGGTCAAGGTGAAAAGTCCTGACACCAGTGTTTATGAACAAGATAGTCAAATGGCTTTGTCATGTTTTCATTATGTAAGTGTTTGCCAATGCAAAAAAAGTCAGATCTTGGTGACACTATACCTGAAAATGCTCAAGACAGTCCTATAAACTATTTGCACAGCCATTTGAAAACTACAGTAAAGTTTCACATTAGTGAGTTTACAGTAAATGAGTACAAGACACTGAATATGTACGTTTCACATTTTTACCGCATGCTCTTTGCAATTCTAATTTGTTCAGAGCATTGTGCAAAAGAAAAAATGAAGAGTTCAGATGCAAAAGCCTCTAAATGCCATTTGAAATTTTCTTCTTTAATGATGATTTTTATCAAACTTGTATATTTAAGTTCAGTAATTTCACTTAAATAACAATTAATAGGTAATTATCATTGCCATTTAAGTGAAATTACTGAACTTAAATATACAAGCTTGATAAAAATCATCATTAAAGAAGAAAATTTCAAATGGCATTTAGAGGCTTTTGCATCTGAACTCTTCAAATACACCCTTATTTACAACAAACATAAACTCCCGTTGGGTAGATCGGTGCACAACTGTAAACAATATCACGGTAGGAACTGAACAAACAACATACATATACTGTAAATCACTCATTTACATCTCCTCTCATCAGTGAAAACTGAGGCTCACCTGCGAGAAATTGTTCAATTTGGGATAAAAAAGGTTGTGTTTTTTAAAAGATTAAAAAAAGTAAAATTTGCTTGACAGATTTTGACAACTAGTTCAACAGTTTTGTATGTGATGACTCAAGCAATGAAATGAGGACTATTAGTTTTATATGGAATGACTATTCAGCATTCACAAGTGTAGTTAAATTGGACTGATATGATATGACATAAGCAAATGACAATGTTATAAAACAGCAGAGAGTTGTATGAAAGCAATTGCAATTTGTTGGAAGGAATGAGAAACTGCTACTATGATGTGCACACATGATTAAATGTTGTGCAAATGTAAATAGTGATGTGAGAAATGCACCAAAGCGACTGAGAAAAACTGTAAAAATGATCGTATATCTGCTGATACTGATCTATCGTACATCCCAATTAACAGAAAAGCTGAGGGTTGAGCAACTCTTTTCCCTGACCCATTAAAATGTATAATTTTGCACATAATTTTAATAGCAACCTAGAACATAATTTTGCAATTAATTACATTTTACAATAAGGTTCATTAGTTAACATTTGTTAATGTTGGAATACATTTGTTGCTGTCGTTAATAAACACCATTTATTGTTTGTTAATGTTAGTTCACAGTAACGTTAACAAGATTTTAATACTGGATTAGTAAATGTTGAAATTAGGGATAGGCAACGATTAATAAAAGTTTGTTTGTATTTACATAATATGTGTGTGTATAATTATGTTATTATATTATGTATGTATATATATATATATATATATATATGTTATATTAGATTATATTGTGTATATATAAAAACACAAACATATATTTAAGAAGAATGTGTTATTAATATATAAAATATTTTTAGGTATACGTATACTATCAATTATGTATAAATATATATATACATGCAAATATTTCTTAAAAATATACATGTATATGTATTTATATATACAAACTAGTTATACACACTACACACACATATATTATGTAAACACAAACTTTTATTTTGGATGTGATTAACTAATGTTAACTAATGAACCTTACTTTCTTTAAATGCTTCTTTTACATTGAACTGAGACACATGCACGAGTTAATGTGTGTGTGTGTGTGTGTTGTCATCAAACAGGTCCATGGCTCCAGCGCCTCCGTCTGCTCGTATGGTGAACCTCTGCTCCGCCACGCAGACCATCATCGGACACAACCCCATGCTGCAGGGCGCTCTGCTCATGCAACAGATGCAGGGTAAACTGAGCCACACACTTTAATATAGCAGGCACTATATTAAGACACGTAATGTGTTCCCTTAAACCCCGGAGAGAGCAGTGTTCCTGCTAAACTGGACGTGCAGAATCAAACAAAGCTGTGAGAAATGAGGAATCCATTGGCTGTGATTTATGGGACGTTTCAACCGAACCGGGAAAGAAAAAGCCTCTGCACTCGATTGGATCGACAAATGCCTTGATCGCGGTTCTCTCACTCAAAAAAATTAAATGTTGGATTTAATTAATTTTAATTTGTCAACAGGTTCCACATAACTGGATTACGTTAAACAAACATCATTTGTTTATGTAACTTCAACATAATGGAATTATGTAATTTTAAATTACCCGATTTAAGTAGTCTCAACGTGAATTTTTAAAGGCTTCCTGACATGATTCAAAGGCGTTTTATTATATTCATCCATTTATGTTTCATTTGATTCAGTGACATTTAATTAAATTGATAGACTTTAGCTAGCTATTTGTTAGCAGAAGCACATATTAGCATCTTGAATGCTAAGATTCAGATTTACATGCTCCTTCATTCAAAGCAATTGAAAATAATGAAATCAGTCGACAGCCAAACAAAATGCTCCACTCTTCTCCACAATGGTAACTTAAATGGTTTAATAATTCCAATGTAATTTAACATTAAACACTATTACACACTATCCAGTCTTCCCCTTTTCCAAATTTCTAAAAAAAACCCACATAAAATAACACTTAATTTTAACATTTATTCTCTCTTAATTCAACCATATGCAAAGCATGCTGGGAACTAAAAGCACTGCCCAGTTTCAGTTAAGGCAACACAAATCAATCATGTAATCCGAATTAAGTAAACTTAAGTTGTTCGTAGATTAAAGCAGATTGAACACAATAAAATTAAGTTCGGGCAAAATGGCAGTCGGCTCGCTCTATACTGCCACCCTCTGGATGTACACTTTTTTTACTTAACATAAATGGTTTGTGTTTAGACAACACATTAGGATTTTGTACTGTTAAGTTGAGACACAATTACATAGACCTTAATTGAAAAAAACATGTTTTAAACGTGTAAAACATGTAAAAAACACAATTATTATAAGTAAACTATATATATAAATATATTATGTAAAGTGCACAACCTCCCTAGTTCATTTCTTTACAAATCAATGCGCTGTCTAGATCTTCTATAACAGACGCGATGTATTACTCTACACATATTAATTCTCCAGCGGCGGCCATCTTTGTTGTAAACAGACTCAACCCAAGTGCTCTTTAGTGACGTGATGATTACGTTTCTGTCCATCATCGTATAAAACCCGCCCTAACAATTTGATTGGTCCGAGCAGCTTTGGTTCGGGCATTGCTTCTCAACGGATCCTCAAATGTTGTGGGCGGGGCTAAGTTCGGCTGGCGTCCAGGCCACCTTTAAGTGACGTGTCTATTAAAAATGTATATCATAACAGAAATAAACACTGCAATGGTATTCGCGAAAGCTCTGGTTTGTGGTGGTGGTGTGTTCGGTGACGTGCTGAGCTGACTGATTTCTCTCCTGTCTGAAGCAGGAAGCATGCGTGGCTTTGCGATGGGCGGCCAACAGTTCCCACAGTTCTTCAGCGCCGGATCCAGAGCGTCTCTCCTCGGGCCCGTTCCAATGGGCGTGGCCATCAAAACTCCTCACATGGGATTCCCGCGACATTTCAATCCACACGCGCGCTATTTCAGCAACGTAAGTGGGCCAGAGCGGCACGATAATGACTAGACTAGGGCTGGGTATTGACACAAATTTCACAATTCTATTGGATTTCGATTCACAAGCTTGCAATTCGATTCGATTTCGATTCAATATCGATTATTTTGGATATCAGTTACAATAAATGGCAAATTTTCTCAAGGGAATCAAATCTCTGAACTAATGCTGTAAACTATGGGAGTCTAGTTGGGCTTCATTAGCCTAATATGAAGGTAATAATGAACTGTTTTGTAGCTTTACAAACACTTAAATTACACTTTTATTTATTTTTATAATAAGAAGATTATGTGAAATATAAACATTTAAATGGTGGCTGTCATAAAAACTTAATAAACTAAAACATAAACTAAAAACATATAAACTAAAAACAGATTTATTCAAATATGCATTAAATATTGAAGAACATTAAGATTATAATGCATATGTAATATGGTGTATATATTTAGCAAAATGCTCCTCTCTAGAGTTATTTTTTCTATCTGACTAACGAGTTGATGTGGGTTTTCTGAGGTAAATATGACGATACATTGATTACAAGCTGTTTAACTGACGTCTTTCCACGGTTGAAACGCTGATTGAGCGAATCAATGTGACATGATCCGGATTTGGATAAGTTGTACTCTATCTTTAACACACTTTCAGATGCTCAATATGTTAATATCGAGAAATCGATATTTATTACCCAGCCCTAGACTAGACTGATCGTGACTCTTTTGAAGTTTTAGATTTTTTGCATTATCTCATCTAGTTTCCATCTAGTTAATCATATAAATTAACAATCTTTACATTATGAACACTGGAACAACAAAAAGCTACTTTTAAAGGGACAGTTCACCCAAAAAGGATTGTTTACTCTGAATATTCTCCATGCTATCCGAGTCAATGGGGCTCATAAACAGTTTGGTTAGAAACATTCTTTAAAAAAAAAAATATTATGTTCAACGAAAGTAAGAAACTACTTGCGTGCAGACTTGGAAAAACATGAGAAATGGTGAAAAAACGTAAATTTTTTGATGTACTGTCCCATTAAATAAATAAAAAAACTGGGCAGGAACTCTATTTATTTACGAGAAAACCTCTAATTACAGGATTAAACTCTTAAAGCATGAAAGCTCTGTTACCAATGCCAGAAAATGCAAATGTCAAATAAAAATAAAAACGCTTTTAGGATTAATAACCAGCGGGTAATTATTAATTGAGAATATAATCCTCAATCGATTAAGAAAACTATTAGTTATTAGTTATTATTCTCAAATATGAGGGCTCTGCAAAGATTAATTCTGATTAATTGCATCCAAAATAAATACAATTTTGTGTTTACATAATATATGTGTGTGTGCTGTCTACAATTATTTTGTACACATAAATACATATGCATGAATGTATATATTTAAGAATTTATTTGCACATAAATACTGTATATAGATATAAATACATCATCTATATTATATATAAACATACATTTTTTATATATATTAATAACACATTTTTCTTAAATATATACATGCATGTGTGTGTATTTATATATACAAAATAGTTATACACAGCACACACAAATATATTATGTAAACACAAACTTTTATTTTGGATGCGATTTATTTTTAATCGCAATTAATCTTTGCACAGCCCTAATTTTTTCCATCATCTGTTTGAATGTTACTGAACTGACATGCATCAATTTTTAACAAATAAATGACATATTTGTTAATATCGTCCTATATTTGGTGAAATCTATGTCTATCTTAACATTCACAGGAGTTTCAGGCACGACAGCCGGACAGAAAGAGGGAAATTGAGCCGAAACCAGCGGGGAGCAGCAACAGCCAATCAGAAGCCAGCAGCAGCAGAGGTATCTGGAGTCTATTTACTGTCAAAAATGTTTCAATGTTTTCAGAAATTATTAAAAAGAGGGAAATTATTTTTACAAATTCTTCAAAACTATTAGCAGCATAGTTTGCCTTTTATACATTATACTGTTTAAAAAGTGTGGGCTCAGTTTTTTATTTATTTGCTATTATGCTTTAAAGACGCATTAAATTGGTCAAAAGTAATGCTGTTCTTTTGAACCTTTTATTCATCAAAAAATCCAGAAAAATTGGTTTCCACAAAAATATTAACTGTTAAACATTGATAATAATCATAAATGTTTCTTGATCAGCAAATCATCATATTGACACAGGAGTAATAATGCTGAAAATTCAGCTTTGATCACAGGAATAAATTACACTTTACTATATATTCACATAGAAAACAGATGATTTACATTAGAATAATATGTCACATTTTTTACCGTATTCCTGATCAAATAAATGCATGTTTGATAGGGAGAAGAGTCCTAACCTTAAAATCTAAATGCATTTTTTAAGAGATATCACCCTTCAGCCAAAAAAATAGATTTTTGGGGGTTTTTTTTGTCCATCCATACACAGCCCGAAAAAATATGTTGAGTTTTGAAGGCCAGAAGTCATGTGACCAGTCTCTGATCTGTGCTTTTTTTTTTGAACAGCAGATGAAGTTTCCATCGTCACCGATCCTTCAGAGCCGCCCGATGAACCAGCGGCTAAAAAACACAAAACTGACGAGTCCGTGACTTCAAATCTGTGAGTCATGAAATCACACTTTACTTTACAAATAGATTTCTTGCCTTATCAAGAATGATTCATCAGTGCACCGCAGTCTTAAACTTTCATCAGACATATAAGATCATACAGGTTGATTTTGATCCTTTGTTTATGTGTATTTTTATGATGTGGTTTCTGTTTTTGTGCAGGTCAGATTTAGCTCAAAACACTGAATACAAGAGCCCGGATCCTGCAGGTAATCATCATAACTGTGTGTTGTTGAGGGATATTCTGGGTATTTTCAACATAAATTGGCTGGACATCACTCTTGGCCACTGCTGTATATAGGAATATAAATACATATGAATAGTGTGCACAAGTTTATTTCAGTAATTCAACTTAAAAGGTGAAATTAATATATTATAATATATTAATATATATTATAATAATATATTTCAAACCTTTATTTGTTATATTGTTGATGATTACGTCTTACAGATATGAAAACCTTTTCACAATATTCTACCTTTCAATTTGAGGTTTTCATATCTGTAAACCATAATCATAAAAATTATAACAAATTATTTTCTGTTGTCTCTGGAAACCATGTTGTGTTTTTGAGGTGGAAAAGGTTGAACTTATGATTGTGTGTGTGAAATCCTCCTCCTGTGAATGATACGAACGTGTGTGTGATGTGTTTCAGACTGCACACTGCAGGAGGGAGGCAGTGTCGCCGGGCCGGTCGCCGCTGAAGCCGATGAACAGAGTCAAGTGGCCAAGGTTGGTGCCATCATATCTGTGTGGTCCGGGATGCTCTTTCTATAGAGATAATTTTGGAAATGTGTGTCTGAATGGTCCAAATATATAGGGCTGGTACCAATAAAATGTAATCGGTATCAACACTATCCATCTTTGAACTGCAGAAGTGGCACGAAACCTGCATCTGAAGTGGCATTTCATTGTGTTTATTGCTCAGAGGGATATGAATGCATTTATTCTGAGGTAAAATAATGCAATGAGATTAATGCTTTAACCCTCTGGGGTTGTTTGTTTCATAGTCACACTCGGGGTGTTGGGGTCCAAAAGGACCCAAAGGGTGGGATTCATATTTATTAAAAAAAAAAAAAAAAAATCATGATTTTTTTTTTTTTTTTTTTTGGTGTTTTGAGAAAATTTCAAAAATAAAAAAATTTATAATTAGTATTAATGCAATAATTATGACAAAATTTCCCCCCATTGAACATAATAGAAAAAATATTTTAAAAAGCTGTAAAGCTTTAAAGCTGTATTTCATTTTAGAGTCAAGCCTAGGCCTCATAAAAGCAATTTGAGATGGATGAAATGAGATGGATGCCATCTGGTGGACAAACTGAGCATTTTAAAAATGCAAAACACATGTATAATCTGAATTTTTTTAGTGTGTTTGTGTATAAAAGTGTGTTTGTGTGTGTGTCTGGAATTGAATGAATTTCCCATGCGGGTCCATTTGGACCCGAACACCCCAAGTGTGACTATTTTTTTTACAACCACTTAGACTATTCACATCCTGTCCCCAATTTTTTGGGGTGTTCAAATACCAAATACCAACAAAGTCACCAAATTTCGGACCATTCCGAAAAAAACTGTGATTTTTAAAAAAAAATTATTTAAATTCTTCGGGTCCATTTGGGCCGAACAACCCCAGAGGGTTAAACACAAACTTTTGACAACCTATTGAAATATAAAAATAATGGAAATTATTAGATAATGTTTGGGGATATTTGTTTTGAATGACAGTACAAGCTCAATTAAACCATAAAAATATGAGAAATATATATTTTTATATAAAAATATAAAAATAAGGGAGGAACAAAACATTAAACTAACAAAAAATGAATAAACTACAACTACAGGTTTTATTTTACTATGCCAAAACAAAATGCTTAGAAAAACAATTATTCAACAATTATTATTAAAAAAAAAATATTTCACTGGTTCTGATGTTATCGGTCAGATAAAAAAATTTGTCCGATACATTGAAGCAGATAAATAATGTATTATTTCCTTCTGCTGAGACACTTCAGATGCGCAAGATAAAACTATCATGTGAACATCATTATAACTGTGTGTTTGGGACGTGGATTTTAATAGTTAGTGGCTCTCAAAAATGATATAAAAATTTGGATTTAGATTTATCGGCCGATATATCGGTTATCGGCTTTTAAATATAAAGAATTATCGGTATCGGCCTAAATTTTAATATCGCAGCATCCCTAATAATAATGTCTTTTTGTTTGATATTCCTCAGCAGATCGGACATACAGAAGCTCCAGATAAAGGAGTGGAACAGCAGAACAGTGACTGTCCAGATGACGCCATCGTCTCCGATCCAGTGCCAGAGGTCGAGGAGGTCAAGCAGACCTGCGCTCACCAGGAGGTCAAGGAGACTAGCGCTCACGAGGAGGAAAATGACGAAGGGCCGGAGACCTCCAACAAGTTCTTCTGCTACATTTGCAACATCACTTGCCATAACCAGCAAGTATGTAGTACGAAGAAGCATTCATGATAATATCAAACAATCAGCTCATTCTACATATAAGAAAAGACTTGAAATTATTTTCTCTAGTTTTGATGTGAAGTAAAATGATGACCTATGATGCTTCTTTCCTTGTTCATCTTTCTTTAGTGTGTAATGTTGCTGTTTGATTTTGTTGCCGTCATTTTGCTTCTCCAGTAAATGCATCTTGATTTGAGAATGTTTAGATATCGTGCTGGAAAACAGACAGAAACACCAAGTAAGAAAAGGACTATTACTAGGGATTATTATTATCGTTATCGGCCGATATATCTTTTTTTTTTTATGTTATCGTTATCGGCTCGATAAGAAAATGTGTCCGATATATTAAAGCCGATAAATAATGTATTATATGAAGAGTTCAGATGCAAAAGCCTCTAAATGCCATTTGAAATTTTCTTCTTTAATGATGATTTTTATCAAACTTGTATATTTAAGTTCAGTAATTTCACTTAAATAACAATTAATAGGTAATTATCATTGCCATTTAAGTGAAATTACTGAACTTAAATATACAAGCTTGATAAAAATCATCATTAAAGAAGAAAATTTCAAATGGCATTTAGAGGCTTTTGCATCTGAACTCTTCATATCCTTCAGCTGAGACACTTCAGATGCTCACTGTTCAACATAATGATTATGAATTCCTTGAAATATGATTGAAATCACTTCAAAAAAGCAAAATACAGTTCAGAAAAAATAAAATCTGTCATATTGTGTAATTGGGACGTGGATTTTACGGGTGAACTTTTGTTTTTGTGACCAGGATCGATTTATCGGCCGATATATCGGTTATCGGATTTCAAATATAAAGAATTATCGGTTATCGTTATCGGCCAAAATTTTCATATCAGTGCATCCCTAATTACTACCATGCAGGGTGGTGGTCCATAGTTGAAATCTTGTGTGTGCAGAATTTCCAGAGCCATATGAACGGACTGACGCACCAGCAGAAGATGATGGAGATCCAGCACATGAGTAACGCGTGTCTCGTCACGCTTCTGCCGCGAGTCCAGGAGTCCCTGCAAGGAGCGCGCAAAGACGGGTGAGGGTTTCATTTACGCTGAACTACAGCAACATGTGGAATAAACAAAGCAGTGAATTATTATCGAATTATCAGAGCACCATCTGCTGCACCATCTGCGGTTAAAAACTATAGCCTGGAGCGCCATCTGCTGTTAAAAACCATAGCATGGAGCGCCATCTGCTGTTAAAAACCATAGCCTGGAGCGCCATCTGCTGTTAAAAACTATAGCCTGGAGCGCCATCTGCTGTTAAAAACTATAGCCTGGAGCGCCATCTGCTGTTAAAAACTATAGCCTGGAGCGCCATCTGCTGTTAAAAACTATAGCATGGAGCGCCATCTGCTGTTAAAAACTATAGCCTGGAGCGCCATCTGCTGTTAAAAACTATAGCCTGGAGCGCCATCTGCTGTTAAAAACTATAGCCTGGAGCGCCATCTGCTGTTAAAAACCATAGCATGGAGCGCCATCTGCTGTTAAAAACTATAGCCTGGAGCGCCATCTGCTGTTAAAAACTATAGCCTGGAGCGCCATCTGCTGTTAAAAACTATAGCCTGGAGCGCCATCTGCTGTTAAAAACTATAGCCTGGAGCGCCATCTGCTGTTAAAAACTATAGCATGGAGCGCCATCTGCTGTTAAAAACTATAGCCTGGAGCGCCATCTGCTGTTAAAAACTAGCCTGGAATCGATTCGCGATGCATTCAGACAAAATTGCACGTATATATTGTCCCAGCCCTACTTATCTGTATCTTAGAGAACAAACACGTCATTGATTTTCACACATGCTTCACATGGCCTGACCCGTTCCAGGGAGAAGAGGCCCGGCCTGCAGAGGTGGTGCTCCACCTGCCAGACTCACTTCACCAGCAACGTCATGGAGCATCGCAGGACCCGGGAGCACAAGGTGAACTATCCCACTGACCTCATGCCCTCAGTCAGCCTCATTTAGCGGGTTTAGTTTTGTTAATATTTTTAATTTCATTTTTTTATTTTAGTTTTAGTTCGTTTTAGTTTAATTTTTAGTAGTTTTGTTAATATGCATTAGTTTTTTTTTCTTCGTATATTTCTATTTAGGCTTAATTTATTTTTTGTTTCAGTTTAGTGTTAGTTTTATTTATTTCCAGTTAATAATATTAGTGCTTCGACTTATTTCTGTTTATTGCCTAGACAACATTTCAAGTTTTTTGTTTAGTTTAAGTTTACGATTTATTTTTGTTTATTTTCAGTTTAGTTTAATTTTTTTCTTTGCATTATGTATTTTTGTCATTTTATTAGATTTTTTTTTTAAATATTGCTATTTTGCTTTATTTTTATTTTATTTTTATTTATTTTTTTCAGTTTCAGATAATTCGAGTTTTTATTTATTTCCAGTGAATAATTTTAGTGCTTCTACTAAAACTTATTTTAGTTTATTGCCATATAAGTTTTTCAAATAATATTTAGATTTTATTTTTAGATTTTTGGTAATTTCGTTATTTGCCTTTGTCATATTATATGGTTTTTATTAATATTGCTATATCTATATATTTCTATATTTATTTTTAGTTTTGTTATTTATTTTTTTCCAGGTAATGATTTTAGTGCTTCAACTTATTTCAGTTTATTGCCAACGCAGGTTTATAATTTTCATTTAGCTTAAGTTTTCAAATAAATTTTATATTTTGATTTATTTCAGCTTCATTTCAATACACACAAAAATTTAAAATAAATGTATTTTTCCTTAACAATAATAATCCTGCATGCAATCACTAAGATTGTCATTGCATATATGACTAGTAGTGACCACATCTGTTTGCATGCTTCAGAACTCCTGGTTTAACCGTGTGTGTGTGTGTGTGTGTGTGTGTGTGTGCAGCGCTGCAGTCACTCGCCCAGCACCAGCTGCACCGTCTGTAAGCTGCACTTCAGGACGGCCAGAGAGTTCGTGGAGCACATGCAGTCCAAGGAGCATAAGCAGCGCGTCGAGCTGGTAATATTCACAAATCCCACAAATGATGCTTGTTTTTGTGTCGTGCAATATAATAATAATAATAATACCTTTTATTTATAGGCGCCTTTCAAGGACACATACAACATAAAAGTAAATCAGTAAAATACAAAGCTATGCAAAAAGACAGACATGAAGATCATAAAATTCTATTCTAAAAGCTATTCTAAACAGATAAGCTTTAATCTGAGCTTTATAAAGGGAAATAGAATTTAACAGGCGAATATGATGAAGCAAACCTGAAGTTTTACTCTAGTAAAGCACAGAAGTGCTTGAAAAGTGTTGGAGATTTGTTCCTCTTCAGACGAAACCATTATTTTATTATTGAAAATATGAATGACGTGTACATACGAGAGGTCGAATTCAAGAATTTCCCATGCATGTTAATTAAAAGGGGAAGAGTTGGCTTTGTTTTTTTAAGTCCACCTTTATCCTTTAACTCATCTTTGATCACCAAAATTACATATTTTAACGTGCAAATATCTTGAATGTAACTCGACACCCTTGCCTCATTTATTATGCGCGGTACTATGAATATGCCAATGAGCCCCGCCTCCACTCACTCAACCTCACAGGATCATTATATCTGTGATGCAATAGTTCAAATTCTCCTCCAAGTACTGGGAGAACGGTTTAATCTCAGTGAGAACGGTGTTGTTTTGGTGTGTCGCTGCAGCTGTGGAAGGAGTCGGGGAAAGAGGGCGTGGATCAGCTGAACTCTGCCGTGTTATTGGGTGAAGAGGACGGCGACTGCAGTGACGACGACAGGGAGGAAGAGGAAAACGGGAAGGTAAAACATTCTTCATTTATGCATTTTATCCAAAATATTCACATTCTTATCAGTTCTTCATGTATTCGGTTTCTAGAGTTTCCCGAACCTACGGTTTTCCTAGTCGACTGGTTCATTTATGCCGAGAAGTTGCAAGTTTGAGATATTATTTAAATAGGACAAATGCTTTATCTTTCCTTAGTGTGTGTCATAGCATGCTCAAACATAACCAGTTATTCTCTACATCAGTGTTTCTGAACTCCTGAAACGCCTCCATTGTAGTCTCGAGTTTCTTCTGGGAACGAACACATCACAATATTCCTCATTATAATAATTAATGCGCAGAATAAAGGGGCGGGGCCGGAGTGTGTTAAACTGGTGGTTATGGAAAGGGGCGGGATATGTCCCAAACGCGCTCGACCAATCACAACGCACTGCTCCAGCTGACCAATCAGAGCACAGTGTGCTTTTCAGGAGGAGGGGCTTCACAGAGACAGGAAGTAAACAGAGCGTTACTGACAGACTGGGAAGAGAGGAGCCGCAACAATGGAGAATATGAGGAGAATAATCAACATTCAAGCAGGAAAACCTGTTCTAGAAGAGCCTGAAACTAAGAAGACTTTAAAAAGGGCACAATAGATTCTCTTTTAAATGTGTAAATAATACTCTTTAATCAACATTTAATAAATTATAATCATTCACTCACTTCACACGGACCGACCGTCACTCGCAGGAACACGTTCCAACACATCTGCCAATCATAAAAACGTAAAAATGCCAAATATCGGCTGACCTCTACTCTATATGATTAAATGCTGTGTGTGTCTTCCAGGAGGGTCTATCTGCACAGATGGAGGTCACACTAGAAGATCTGACTGAAGACGAGGAGTTTGACTCTGACACAGTGTACGGTGGGTAATAATTAGCCACGAGATGCAAATACGATGACGACGTCTGTAATATGTGGCGTTAAATTTACCGTTTCGTCCCCCAGGGTCTAGTTTTGTGGTGCCTGTCGCTGGGTTTCTCTGTCGACTCTGCGATCAGTTCTATCACTTCGAGTCTTCGGCTCGACACACACACTGCAAGACGCTCACACACTTCGAGAATCTGAAGGTGCGTTTAAACTTTGACCTTTCAAATCTGATTAGAAACTAGTTGTGCTGCTGTTTTTCTAATGCTAAATTAATATTTATTTAAAAAATGCTGCAGTTTATACAGTACATAAGTACATAAGTGTACTTCTTATTTAGATTTATTAATATTTCTCGTAAATCTCCCTGCGTCAGCTTAATGCTTTGGTTAGATCCTCATTGTTTTAAACTAGGGCTGTGCAAAAATTAATTGCGATTAATCACATCCAAAATAAAAGTCTGTGTTTACATAATATATTTTTGTGCGCTGTATATAATTATTTTGTATATATAAATACACACACATGCATGTATATATTTAAAAAATACGTTATTCATATATAAAATATTTATATTTATATAATATAGATTTTGTATTTATATATATATATATATATACAGAATTTAAGCGCAAATAATTCTTAGATATATACATGCATGCATAGGTATTTATATATACAAAATAATTATATACAGCGCACACAAATATATTATGTAAACACAGACTTTTATTTTGGATGCGATTAATCGCAATTAATTTTTGCACAGCCCTATTTTAAACACTTCTTGCTTAAATTATATTATCTGATTCTTTTTGTTAGTAGCTTTTAATGTAGATTAAGTCTTGTTCAGACTTTAATATAAAATCAGTATGAATTGTAGAGTTTCCCACTGATAAATTATCCTGTTTTTTTTTTTCCCTTGGCGTCAGTGTTATTTTAGTATCATTTATATACTATAATATTGTATTTTATTCGTTTTAGTTAGAATTTTATTAATTTTGTTACTTGCATTTGTAATTTTTTTTTGTTTTTTTTATATAAATAATTTTTTTATTCCGTTTTAACTTTTAGTAATTTTAGTACTTATATAATTTAGCTGCGAAGGATATTTGTATATATTATACTGTATATTAGATGAAAACTTATTGAAAATATTATATTCATTACATAATAGAAATATATATACATATATATGAGGGCTGTGCAAAAATTAATTGTGATTAATCGCATCCAAAATAAAAGTCTGTGTTTACATAACACATTTTTGTGCGCTGTATATAATTATTTTGTATATATAAATACACACACATGCATGTATATATTTTTAAAAATACGTTATTCATATATAAAATATTTATATTTATATAATATAGATTTTGTATTTATATATATATATATACAGAAATTAAGCGCAAATAATTATTAAATATATACATGCATGCATAGGTATTTATATATACAAAATAATTATATACAGCGCACAAAAATATATTATGTAAACACAGACTTTTATTTTGGATGTGATTAATCGCAATTAATTTTTGCACAGCCCTAATATATATATATATATATGATGAAAAAATTATTTTAAAAAACATATATATTTGTGTGTGTGTGTATTAGTATTTATATTATATATAAATACTATATTTTTAAGCTTAAATTTTTCATCTAATATATATACTTCAAATATTAATTTTTCTCTCAATTGTTCAATTTTTCAAAAATGCCACAATTACAGAAAATAATTTTTATTAGTTAAAACACTTAATATCTACATTCTCTTGAATGTTCATGTTGACATCAGAGTTTTTGGTGGCCATGTTCCATTTATGTATCATGCTGTTCATTTGTGGTTGTGCAGCGTTATAAAGTCTCGAGGAAACACGAAGACTCCGGTTCGACCTCGGGAGAAGCGACACACCACATCAGTCCCGATGAAATCCCTAAACCAGCCCTGGAGATCTCCGAGTCCACGAGCTCCTCGCTCCCCAGCATCAGCACCGACACCAGCCTCCGTCAGGAACACCAGCCGGATCTCCTTGGGGATCCCGAGGGAAACGAGGATCTCGTTAGCATTCCCGAGGGAAACGAGGATCTTGTTGTTAGCGTTCCTGAGGAAAAGAGCGTTCGGGGCCGAGGAAGGACTCCTGCGAAGAGACGAGGAAGAGGAGGAGTAGGAGGAGGAAGACGACGCTGAGACCCAGAACGTTATTATCAGGCTCAGAGGACCCGAGTGAAACCACCCCGCCGATAGACCGTGTGTGTGTGTGTGTGTGTGTGTGTGTCTCCTGCGGTTCTGAAGGGTTTGTGCCACGGTTGTACGCCTCTAACCCCCTGTCTGTACAGTAGATGTCTTCATTAAGCACAAGATCCCCAGAACTCCAGCACTGAACGCTTCCTGCTTCGGCTGAAGGGTGAACCTCATCGACACGTGAACATGTCCAGGTCATAGGTCAACACAAAACTGTGAGTGAGTAGGTGCGTTCCATTCGACAGGGTCCCTACGCAGTGTTCACTGCTCCCTACTTGAGTGAGTGAGTGAGTGAGTCAGTGAGTGAGTGAGTCAGTGAGTGAGTGAGTCAGTGAGTGAGTGAGTCAGTGAGTGAGTGAGTCAGTGAGTGAGTGAGTGAGTGATTGAGTGAGTCAGTGAGTGAGTGAGTGAGTGTGTGAGTGAGTGAGTGAGTCAGTGAGTGAGTCAGTGAGTGAGTGTGTGAGTGAGTGAGTGAGTGAGTGAGTGAGTCAGTGAGTGAGTCAGTGAGTGAGTGTGTGAGTGAGTGAGTCAGTGAGTGAGTGAGTCAGTGAGTGAGTGTGAGTGAGTGAGTCAGTGAGTGAGTCAGTGAGTGAGTCAGTGAGTGAGTGAGTGAGTCAGTGAGTGAGTCAGTGAGTGTGTGTGTGAGTGAGTGAGTCAGTGAGTGAGTCAGTGAGTGAGTGTGTGAGTGAGTGAGTCAGTGAGTGAGTGAGTCAGTGAGTGAGTGTGTGAGTGAGTGAGTGAGTGAGTGAGTGGGTGAGTGAGTGAGTGAGTCAGTGAGTGAGTGAGTCAGTGAGTGAGTGAGTGAGTCAGTGAGTGAGTGAGTCAGTGAGTGTGTGTGTGAGTGAGTCAGTGAGTGAGTGTGTGAGTGAGTCAGTGAGTGAGTCAGTGTGTGAGTGAGTGAGTCAGTGAGTGAGTGAGTGAGTGGGTGAGTGAGTCAGTGATTGAGTGAGTCAGTGAGTGGGTAAGTGAGTCAGTGATTGAGTGAGTCAGTGAGTGAGTCAGTGAGTGAGTGAGTGAGTGAGTGAGTGGGTGAGTGAGTGAGTGAGTCAGTGAGTGAGTGAGTCAGTGAGTGAGTGAGTGAGTCAGTGAGTGAGTGAGTGAGTGGGTGAGTGAGTGAGTCAGTGAGTGGGTAAGTGAGTCAGTGATTGAGTGAGTCAGTGAGTGAGTCAGTGAGTGAGTGAGTGAGTGAGTGAGTGAGTGAGTGGGTGAGTGAGTGAGTGAGTCAGTGAGTGAGTGAGTCAGTGAGTGAGTGAGTGAGTCAGTGAGTGAGTGAGTCAGTGAGTGTGTGTGTGAGTGAGTGAGTCAGTGAGTGAGTGTGTGAGTGAGTCAGTGAGTGAGTCAGTGTGTGAGTGAGTGAGTGAGTCAGTGAGTGAGTGAGTGAGTGAGTGGGTGAGTGAGTCAGTGATTGAGTGAGTCAGTGAGTGGGTAAGTGAGTCAGTGATTGAGTGAGTCAGTGAGTGAGTCAGTGAGTGAGTGAGTCAGTGAGTGAGTCAGTGAGTGATTGAGTGAGTCAGTGAGTGATTGAGTGAGTCAGTGAGTGGGTAAGTGAGTCAGTGATTGAGTGAGTCAGTGATTGAGTGAGTCAGTGAGTGAGTGAGTCAGTGAGTGATTGAGTGAGTCAGTGAGTGATTGAGTGAGTCAGTGAGTGGGTAAGTGAGTCAGTGATTGAGTGAGTCAGTGATTGAGTGAGTCAGTGAGTGAGTGAGTCAGTGAGTGATTGAGTGAGTCAGTGAGTGATTGAGTGAGTCAGTGATTGAGTGAGTCAGTGATTGAGTGAGTCAGTGAGTGAGTGAGTCAGTGAGTGATTGAGTGAGTCAGTGAGTGATTGAGTGAGTCAGTGAGTGGGTAAGTGAGTCAGTGATTGAGTGAGTCAGTGAGTGATTGAGTGAGTCAGTGAGTGATTGAGTGAGTCAGTGAGTGGGTAAGTGAGTCAGTGATTGAGTGAGTCAGTGATTGAGTGAGTCAGTGAGTGAGTGAGTCAGTGAGTGATTGAGTGAGTCAGTGAGTGATTGAGTGAGTCAGTGAGTGGGTAAGTGAGTCAGTGATTGAGTGAGTCAGTGATTGAGTGAGTCAGTGAGTGAGTGAGTCAGTGAGTGATTGAGTGAGTCAGTGAGTGATTGAGTGAGTCAGTGAGTGGGTAAGTGAGTCAGTGATTGAGTGAGTCAGTGATTGAGTGAGTCAGTGAGTGAGTGAGTCAGTGAGTGATTGAGTGAGTCAGTGAGTGATTGAGTGAGTCAGTGAGTGGGTAAGTGAGTCAGTGATTGAGTGAGTCAGTGAGTGATTGAGTGAGTCAGTGAGTGATTGAGTGAGTCAGTAAGTGGGTAAGTGAGTCAGTGATTGAGTGAGTCAGTGATTGAGTGAGTCAGTGAGTGAGTGAGTGAGTCAGTGATTGAGTGAGTCAGTGATTGAGTGAGTCAGTGATTGAGTGAGTCAGTGATTGAGTGAGTCAGTGAGTGAGTGAGTGAGTCAGTGATTGAGTGAGTCAGTGAGTGAGTCAGTCAGTAGTTTTCCTGATAATTGCACCCTCACCCAATACTTAATTACTTTCATGTAAAATGGCATTCTCAATCTCATTACCATAGAGGATAAATATCATTATTGCAAAAGTTGTTGTAGTGAATTAAATATATGCTGATTTTAATATTAAATAAGTATTAACAGTGTCCAGACAGAAAGAGTTAGTGTTAGTAAGCGTAAGCTAGTGCTAATCGCTCCTCGCGTGTCGATGATGATTCCCTCTCGCTGATGAATGTAGCGGCGCTGAAACCTCTTCGGCGTTCAAGGGTTTACGTTCAGACTGGGACAAAGGAGGAGGAAGACGAACCTTATTTTGTGTTCTTTAACGAAGTGAACATCTGAGTAACACTAGTGTAAGAGCCGTGTGGATTCATGACATACACTGACGTTTCAGAAACATCTCTATCCTGAGTTCTTGCACACTGTTTTAAAAGGCTGCGTTGTGATTGGCTCACGCTGATGTGATGTCACTCTACCAGTGGTGTTTACCTCCATTACATGACTTGTTTTTACACGTGACGTTGCATTACAGTGCAGAAATCCTCGAGAAACTGACTTCATATGAGACTTTCGATGTGAGGATCTGCTGATTGAAATATTCTGTTCTCAAGGTTGTTTTTGCTTTGACTTCCTGTTATTAGTTCTAGGTTTCATTCACAACGGCTCGTTTACTCGTTACTTGGCCAATTATGAGTTTTAATGTGTTAGAAAAAAGTCATACTGCAAAAAATACTTTTGTTACTCAGTGTTTGTGTCGTTTCCAGTCCAAATATATGAAAATTATTACAGCAAGATGCATTCACTAGATGAGTAACATGACATTAGATATTATGTCTTGATTTCTAGGGAAATAAATCAATATTACACAAGTTTTTGCTTAAAACAAGCACAATTATCTGACAATCGGGTCAGAAAAATAATCCTGTTTCTGTTTAAATTAACATTATTTTTATAAAATAAATATATAAAAAAAATCTTAAATCAAGATACTAGATGAGTGAAATGCCGAAATAAAAATGAAGAGAGTTGTTGCTTTAAAACAAGCAAAATGATCTGCCAATCTGCAAAATAATGTTAATTTAAACAGAAACAGGAGGTGGATAATCCCCATAAAACAAGACATAATATCTAATGTCATGTTACTCGTCTAGTAAATGCGTCTTGATTTAATATTTTTGGATATTTGGACTGGAAATGAGTCAAACATACTAAGTAAGAAAAGCATTTTAGAAAAAAAGAAATAATATTTCACAAGCATGTTTTGAGTCCTTTAGGGTTTTTCTATTGTGACGTCATTTTCATGCCAATTAGGCACATTTTCCCCCTTATGAAAAACACAATTTTGCATAAAACTGTAATATTACAGTAATGAGAACCACTACTGACTGAATCTCTTCGGCTGAAACATCTCAGTTCATTTATTTCTATTTTTTGCATCTCGATTAAAAACGAGCGTGAAAGTCACAATGCAAAAATCTTCGTGGGACCAAAATATCCTTCGTCTTTCCCTAAAACTTAATTTCCCTTTTTAATCTTCATGTTTTAGGAGTGAAATATGACCTGGACGTGTGTGTGTGGTCAGTAGTGTTTGCTTCATCTACTGTGTGTGTGTGTGTGTGTGTGTGTGAGGATTACAATGGCATTCTCTCTCTCTGACTGTCTGAAACACTGGAAACAGAAGCACTGAACGACTCTTTAATTACTCTAACGAAACACTGTGTAGCAAATGCATCTGTTCACATTCATCTCCAGGCCCCGAACTCATCCAATCTTGCATAGACTAAAAAAAATCAAGCCTTTTTATTTGCGTTGTCGCATTAATTCAACATTTCACCCACAAATTCTCAGCCAAACATTTTATACTTATATTTTTCATTACTGTAACGCAGTATTTTTTTTTACCCGTAGACATGTTGCATGCAAAATATCATTTATTTATTGATGGTTTTGGGACGAACTGTGACCAGATCCATTAAACGCATGTGATCATAAATCATGTTTTGCTCACTGACTTCAGATCAGGCTGAGTGTGATGCTGATGATTGGAGGTGAGCTTTGATTTGTTGAAGGGAACTGCTGTACGTTAGGAACTCTCCATCCGCATGTTCAGAGCACATGACTGAAGCCAGAGTTTCCTATCGTGGAATAATAATGATAACGTCATGTGTTTCGAGCTCTGAAGGAGGACCGATGCGAGCCACGAGATATGTGTTTGGTGTTCTGACAAACTGAAGTGTTTTACAGCAGCTGGAGTTCATGTTCTTTCCAATGTTTTGTTTTCTGTATGCGTCTCATTTTAATTTTTATTAAAATATTTGCTGATTACAAGAGCGACTGGGTTATTTATGTACTATCGAAATCTCCAAAAATCCAAGCTAATGTTGATTCTTGTTTTATTACGAGCAGAAATATTGACTATATATATTTATATTTATATATATATTCCACGGCTGAAATAACCTTCCATATAAACTTGTTTGCATCCTTGATCAATATTTATTAAAATCTTTTCTCATGTTCACATTGCATTTCATGCGAAAGCAATAATTCACTCGAGGCTGTGCGTTACGCTGATTTTACCATGATCGCTTGGATACGCATTTCACTACAGAATAAAAAATAAAAAGGTAATAACGACTTTTTAATCACTCAATTAAGACTTTTTTTATAACTTTCAGAATTGTGAGATATAAACTCAAGTGTGAGAGTCAAATTTACGAAATCTCAAAAATCCAAGCTAATGTTGATTCTTGTTTTATTACGAGCAGAGTATAGACTATATATATATATATATTCCATGGCTGAAATAACCTTCCATATGAACTTGTTTGCATCCTTGATCAATATTTATTAAAATCTTTTCTCATGTTCACATTGCATGTCATACGAAAGCAATAATTCACTCGAGGCTGTGCGTTACGGTGATTTTACCATGATCGCTTGGATACGCATTTCACTACAGAATAAAAAATAAAAAGGTAATAGCGACTTTTTAATCACACAATTAAGAATTTTTTTATAACTTTCAGAATTGTGAGATATAAACTCTCAAGTGTGAGAGTCAAATTTACGAAATCTCAAAAATCCAAGCTAATGTTGATTCTTGTTTTATTACGAGCAGAAATATTGACTATATATATTCCACGGCTGAAATAAACTTCCATATAAACTTGTTTGCATCCTTGATCAATATTTATTAAAATCTTTTCTCATGTTCACATTGCATATCACACGAAAAGCAATAATCCACTCGAGGCTGTGGGTTACGGTGATTTTACCACGATCGTTTGGATACGCATTTCACTATGAAATAAAAATAAAAAGGTAATCTACTTTTTAATCACACAATTAAGACTTTTTTATGACTTTCAGAATTGTGAGATCATATGTAAACTTGCAACTGTGAGGACAAAAAGTCAAAATTACAATCCAAATATCCAAACTGATGTTGATTCTTGTTTTATTATGAATTTTATTATTTAGTTTTATTATTTAATTATGAACTTTTTTTTTCAGCAGAAATATTGACCTTTTTTTTATCTGTTCCATGGCTGAAATAACCTTTCATATAAACTTGTTTGCATCCTTGATCAATATTTATTAAAATACTTCTCATATTCACGTTGCATATCACATGAAAGCAATAATCCACTCCAGGCTGTGCGTTACAGTGATTTTACCACGATGGCGCTTCAATGCTTTCAAATCAGTGCATCTTAACAACAGAACAACCACATAAAGACATTTACATATATAATAATAATAATGCTACCATACTGGTCCGCTGAGAAGACGATGCAGGTATTTTACATCATCAATGCATTAATAATAATAATCTCTAGTCTCGGGTGTGTGTGTCTCTGGACCCCTGGTCTTCCTCTGGAGGATGAGGATGGGCATGTTCTTCATCACTCAGCTGTTGTCTGAAGTCTCGTCGGGCTTGTCTGTTGGACTCCAGGAGCTCGTGAAGTTTCCCGTTCAGAGAGTCGTTCTTCTCCTCGATGTCGTCCAGACACGAGTTGATCTGGTCCAGCATGGAGTCGATCGCTGCGTACTCTGAGCCGACACACACACACACACACACACATTCAGTGCTCTTTACATCCAGCTCTCCTGCTTTTAATCCAGTGATATTTCATTGTTTCTTAAAAAAAACACTCACGTTGATCTTCCTACTTCAGTGTCTGTAATCTGACTTTAGAGTCTGAATTGTTTGTGTACTATTATTAAATTAAAACTGTTTTTTACGAGACTATTAAAAACATTCCACAACCTACATTTTTTATATATATTTATGTGTATGCACATTTATTTATGCTTCTATGTATGAATGTGTGTGAGACAGAGAGTGTATATGCATATTTATGCTTGTATGTATAGTGTGTGTTGTGTGTGTGTGTGTGTGTGTTTGAATCAGAGAGTGTGTGAGTGTATGCCATGAATAGTGAATGTGAGTAAGTGTGTTTATGTATGCATTTTATTTATGCTTTAATGTGTGTGTGCGCGCGCGATTAGTAAAAAATAAAAATGTAATAAAGTGTTTTTTTTAACTGTAACGTAGTTTTATTGTTAGTACTAACTA